TTCCTATGTCAGCTCCGTCACTTCCCGGACATTGCGAGGGTTGCTGGGATCATTGCGGAACAAGGTTCAGCAGAAGATCGCTATGGTTGTATTGTGGGCAGCAGAATCCCTGCGCACTCAAAGAGTGGGTATCCAACCGTCGTTTGAAACATTCCTCCGTCTCCGCATCGACGACAGCTTCTGGCAAGCTGTTCCAGTCATTCACTACCCGGGTGGATAGGGCCAGATCGGACCGTACACGGAGTCGCCGCGGTTTGAAAAGTTTCCACCGGTGGCCTCGAGTTGCACAACTTGTGTTTAGACAAAAGAACGATTGCAGCTCACTCCCCAGCTCACCTCGTAGAATACGCCGGGTGAATATCATATCTCCCCGGCGACGACGATAATCCAAAGAGAACAGGTTCAACCGTTGTAGCCGGAGGAGGTAGGATAAGTCCCGAAGCTCTGGAACGGATTTGGATCCACGCCGTTGAACCTTCTCAATCATGTCACGTTCTGACTTAGTGAGCGGGTACGCAGCAGGCAATCCGTACTCGAGAACTGGGCGTACATGAGAAGCAAACAGTAATCTGAAGAGTGCTGGGGTCAGGCGTGAAAAGGCTCTCCGTATAGCGTGAAGTATCCTGTATGCGGATGCGACCCTCTTCCGGGTGTCCTCCATTGATTTGAGATCAGGAGACACAATCACCCCAAGGTCCCTCTCTTGGTTGACATTTCTGAGCAGGAAACCCCCGATATGGTAAGCCCCAAAAGGCTCAGGAGCACCGATTGGAAGGATAGCGCATTTGTCATGGTTAATGGGCAACTGCCACTTTAGTGACCAATCGTGGAGCTGATCGAGTGTCGCTTGAAGTATGTCTGCGTCTTCCAGACTGGAAACCTCAATCCACAGCTTCAGATCATCAGCGTAGATTAAGCAGTCGGTCTGCAGTTCGGATGGCAGGTCGTTGATGAAGATATTGAAGAGTTCGGGGCCGAGTACAGAACCCTGGGGGACCCCACTGGTCATGAGAATTTGATCAGAAAGCGCTTCGTTGACTTTGACCTGCATGAAGCGACCTTGCAGGAAATCGGAGACCCATGAAAGAAAATTGCCGGTGACGCCGATTCCCCGGAGTTTGAAGAGGAGCCGCTCATGTGGGACCTTGTCGAAAGCCTTACTGAAATCGACAAACACAGCATCCAGACGCTTACCGGCATCTAAGGATCTTGCCCATTTTTCCCTAGCTACCAGCAAATTTGTAGCACATGAACGCGCCCTTCGGAAGCCATGTTGGGCAGGAGATAGGAACTCCAAATCATCGAGATGTAGGCGAAGGGCCCGTTTCAGAATCCGTTCCATGACTTTGCACAAAATCGAAGTCAAACATATGGGACGATAGCTGGCTGGATTCTGTCGGTTCCCTCCTTTGTAAATGGGTTTAACCGTTCCCATCTTCCAAGCAGTAGGAAGCCGCCCGACCTCAAGGGAACGACGGAAAATTTGACATACAGGAGCGGCAATGTGTCCGGCCACGGCCTTAAGGAACAATGGGTGTAAACCATCAGGACCCGGCGAGGAATACGGGTCTAGGTCAAGTAGAAGTTTCAGTACATCGTCAGTGGAAACATTCACGTGCTCCAGCAGGAAAGGAGGAGTGGGTGCAACGCTATCTGGGAGTGGCGTTGCGGTAGAGTAGACTGAGGAATATTGCTGGGCCAAAAGGCTAGCTTTCTCAGCGTCTTCGTAGACTAGGTCCAAATGCTCACAGGGAGACAAGGCAGGGACACCACTTCCAGCTTTAGTGCTTCGTTTGAGGTATGAGAAGAGCGCCTTGGAGTTTGTACTAGAAAGTGCAGCTAATGACAGTTCGTACTTTTGGCGTTTCTCGCGTTTTTTTATGTTACAAGCATTCCTGACCGTTTTGTAGTGACGGTAGTCAAGCTCAACTCGCGTAATTCTGAAACGATCCCACAGTTTTCGCCTTCTTTTCATCATTGATCTCAATTCGCGGTCGATCCATGGAGGGCCTTTGGAGAAGGGTCTTCTTTTGGAGAAGGGGATGACCTGTTCAATGAGTAACGTCAGCTTGGAGTACAAGTGATGCCACGCTTCGTCAACATTGAGGTGTTCAGGGATACTCCAATCGACAATGCTTGCCGCCGTTTTCAAACGAGTTGTGTCGGCACGCCAGAAATTCCGACGGTCGGCACGTTGACTGTGAACAGCGAGGCGACGTGACCACTGGAATGAGACAGTACAGTGATCACTGCTGCCAATGGGCTGTAGAACTGAAAGGTTCGTGATGTCTGATTGTGTTGGGGAGAGCACGAGATCCAAGATATGCGGCGTCTGATCTGGAGGAATACGAGTTGGTGTAGTGACGTGTTGGAGCAAATTACAATGAAGAATGGTCTCCAGTAAGTTAGCCTCGAAGGATTCTGTAGGTCGGTCACAAAGAAACAGGTTCCAGTCAACAGAAGGAGCGTTGAAATCCCCAACGATAAGACAATCCTTTCGTGCACCATGCTTCCTGATCGAGTCCATCAACCGGGCTCCGGATCCTGAAGGCGCTCTGTAGACAACACCAAATGAGAGAGAACTCCGACCATCATGAACACGACACCAGAGTGCATCAAACTCATCGTCTTTGTCACTGATCGCTTCAACTACGTGCACTTTAATATCAGTCTTCCAATAGACTATTACACCACCGCCGGGCCTCCCTCCTTGTCGATCGGATCGGGAGAGGTGATAACCAGGGATAGACACCTCTGAATCCGTGATGTCGGTGAGTAGCCAAGTTTCAGTGAAGGCCATTAAGTCCGGGCAGGTCTCTGAGGCAATCAACTGAATCTCATCCAATTTATTCCTCAGACTGCGCACATTGGCGGTTAACACAAATAGTCCACTTGTGTGTTTTATTGTCCCGGGATGAGAAGAATGGGTCTCCAACGGGCTCTCAGGGTCTTCCGAACCACGCAAAAATCCACAATATGAAGGTCAGTTTCACCATTTCCTCGGCGTGTTCGTAGCTCCTCAACAGCCTTTTTCATTTTTATCCGATCCTCTGGAGAAAGATCACGTAGTACGTAATATGGCTCACCTTTGAGACGCGAGGTCCGTCGCAGAATACGTCGGCATTCCTCTTCCGTCTGACACACGACTTTGAGGGGACGAAATTTGGTTGGGTCCTCTTGCTTCCTGCCGAGCCGGAATGCAGAAACGATGTTAATCCCCTGTTCCCCTTCATCAAATAACAAAGAGATCAAGCGCTCGAGAAGAATTTGGTCATCCAGAATTCTTTCTGCTGGGGTGGCTTTGTTCGATTCGGCTGCGTTCATAATGATGAGGCAACGGTCCCGAGAAGGTGGAGTGCGCTCGGGCATCTGCGGTCTGCGAGAGGACGGATTTTCTTTGATCACTTTCTCTAGCTCAGAAAGTCTATTGAGAACTAGCTTCATTCGCGACTGAGAAGCTGAGAGCTTAGAATTTGGTTTATCCCCGGATTTGGGATTAAACTTAACAGCATTGGTGGCTGGGCTTTGGCTGACAAAGGTCGGGGGCACATTTCCCTTCACTATGGAAGGGTTATCCCCGGTGTTGGATTTCACCTTGGGCTTAGGTACCAGCTTTCGTGGGGGCGTGCTTTCAGCTGGGCATAGACTGGTTGTTGTTGGAGCGGTGGCGCTCGCCACGGCAGCATACGTTGCGGGCTTATTCCTCGGTCGACAAATCATCTTACTGGACGGTAATGACTCGGCCGACGTAGCAGAGAGGGTGCGGGTTCGATTTGGTTTGGGTGTAGAAGATCCAGATGCAGGTAGGGAAATGGATGATGGGGGTAACTCATCTTCCGTATTGTCCACGGCCAAGGTGACAGGGCTGCATATACTCAAAGGACGATGGTTGGCCAGGAGACGTTTGTCATTCACTATTACTCGACATGAGTCACAATGTGAGCTCATGACCTCAGAGGCAGTGCGTTGGAGACATTCATATAAAGCGTCATCGATGTTACAGCACGAAGTGTGCAGCCACCCTTCACACAGAGCGCACTGAACAGCTTTGGAGCGGGAAGTGACGCGTTTGCTACAACTTATGCACTTGGATGACATAGCGGTTCGCCGTATTGATACAGAAATCTGAAAAGTGGGAGCGAAAACCTCGACGGGGGTCGTTATCCGCAGTCAAGATAAGTAATACCCACGCGCCCTGCATTGGCAGTCCCCGGCACCCCGGTTACGTGAAATAAGAAACCGAAGTACGAAAGTACTGAAAGCGTTAAAAATCAAAAGTAATAGATTTAATAATTCAATAAAACGAAGAAGCTAAGATGTAAAGGAAAGTTAAGAACTGAAGGCCAAGGGAGTCAAGCCGGTATTCGAACTCGTTCACCGTTGCTGACACCACCACGTTCTCGGGCAGGGTATCCCAGGAATCACCTACTCCGCGTGACAAACGAAAGTCCGCCCGGACTCCATCCGATCGAGGTTTGTGTAGCTACATCGAGTGACTTCAGAGAGATAGACGCCGAGCTGGTTGGAAAAGCCCAGATAAATCGAGTCCGAGTTCACCGGTATGTATGCGATAGGTCAAGAACAGGTTGCATCGATGATGACGACAAAATGCATTGAGAACATTCCCAGCTCAAGTGGTCTTTCTGGGGAGAAAGGTTCCGTGGTCCACTAACGATTTTCATTCAACTCTCAAAACTCTCTCCACTGAATCCTGTCCCTGACTAAGCAAGTTGGACAAGCCTAGATGCAATATTCCAACTGTGGCCTAACAAAAGTTGAGAATAATCTAACGAACATATCGCCTGTGATGGTCCCGAATGCCCTGCGAATCATGTGCATTAGACTGAACGTGCTGACAGTTAGATTTAACTGAGGTAAGATGCAAGTCTGTTCTGTATATTTGCGACGCCTACCAAAAAAGGACCTAACAACAATTCAGATATCCATCCCATTGTTAGAGGGAATCAATGTAGCCATCAAAAACCAGAGGTTTAGATTTATCATTAGCTTTCCAACTAAGTAGCAGCCGTACAGAGATTTGTTCACCGATAAATATGGCTCGCGTTTCCGATTGAACACTAAAATTACAAACATATATACCCCCAGGTCACCAGATCACATGTTCATATCGTAGATAACTAACCCCACACAACCGACAATATCAGGGCGCCATGCAGACAGCTTGTTTGATACAATGGTGGGCTTACGGTGTTGTGTGACTCAGCTGACACAGCTATGTAGGTTATGGCGTTTCGGTCACGAGGACGCGGTACAAAGCGCATCGCAGTCTTAATCTCCGCTCGACTATCCGTTTGAATTATTGCACCAAATGAACATACTCGAGTTAGCATGACAGTTAATTTGAGTTCTGCGTGTCATGCCAGCTAACCCGAATGTCATCATTTGGCGGAGATAAAGCTCAGCGAACAGAACCAATGCCATTCGTTAAAGAAACTCCTAAGCTGAAAGTTAATGAAATCCGAATGCTGGGATACTACGGCTGCAGGTGTGGTACTATATACGCTTATAGCTAAGCTTATCCATCTAATTTTTCGATTCGCTTAGTTACCAATGTTGAGTCCACTTAATTGTGAACCTAACAGTTAGCTCACACAACCTCACTAGGGACCCAGTTCACACACCGGTTGTTTGCTGTAAGTCAGAAGTGCACGGCTCTCAGGTAAACGAAAGGCGGAGTTATTCGGAAAATTCTTTTGTATTCATATCTTCATGAATCAAAATGATGCATCTAGCCCAGGTAACCGCCTAACAGACATGATTACGCTCAACCTTCGGTAAGTTCTGTTGAAATCAGCTAGGTAGACAAAAGATTAGCCTGAATTGAGACATCCCAGTGCTGAATTTGATCACATATAAATCGAAAAGGTGAGTACTCAGTTTGTAAACATTACGGAGTTGCCCATGTGGCAATTGTACGCATGTGATTGCTTGTAGGTGCGGCATTTCTCTCTGGAAATATAGATCGGAAAGCCTTAAAAATCACTTCTTCCACAACAATAAAAGCGTTTAGCGGTAATGATTTTCCAGTGCCAAGCATTAGATCGAAGTCGGAGGCCACTGGAGGTACAATGGCCGTGATTTGTGTTTGGTCTCAGTAATACACGTGTCATAAATCTCTTTTCCGTCCGATATTTCGCTTGTGCTTATATGCTTTGGATATACGGATAGACACGGCATTCATTTGGTTATAGAAAAATGTTTAATAAGAACGCTATTACGTTTCCTGGAGATGTTGCATTTCCGGGGTCTATTTTCATAAAATAGAGACACAACTGGCAAGATGCTTTCACATCAAGCTAAGGTGCCGAAGCAGCGAACGACTGAATGAATAGGTATATGGATGCATCTATATATGTGAGTAATTAAATGCACGCCTCGTGCACGTCAATTTCAGCAACCAGTCGGTCAATTGATATCTGTGGGGTGACCTCCGATGCGTGTCAACAGACACGTAGACATGTTTGCTCAAAATATTTTGGTGATAGTTTACGACGTAAGTCTTCCTATTTGTCCATCAGTATGACTGGAAACAGCTACATAGCGCCGTGGCTTACAAAGGGACCATGGATGGCGTCCCTACCAGCACCATTCACACATCCCATATCCATATTAAATCAGCGGGAATAAAAATGAGATGCATGCGTATGAACTACTCAGGAATAGAGTAATTCAATCTGAGAGCTCTGTGCCAATGGGGACTACAAACCCCATCTATCACACAGCCGAGCGCCATTTGATACAGTAGATAGAAATACGTTATGGAACCGTTTACTGTGGAAACGTATGCCCCACAAGTTTGTAACCATTCTGAAAGAACTTTATAGTCACATGTCGGGCAAAGTCAGGGCTTACGGCACGCTCTCCTCTTCGTTTGCTGTGACCAGCGGTGTTCGTTGTTGTCCGATTTCACCTTTTCTCTTCCATTTTGCCATCGAAGATGTGGTCCAAGCAGCACTGCAAGGTGTCCAGAACTGCAGTGTTGAGCTTGTCCCTGGAGACAGAGTCACGCACTTGGACTACGCCGATGATATCGCTTTGCTGGGGGACGACCCACAAACTGTCCAGAGCGCTTTGGACCGCTTAGCGATGGAGGCTTATACTTCACTCCGGCAAAATGTAAAAGGCTGCTCCAAGATTGGCAGGTGCCTGAATCTGCGCTCACCATTGGTGGTTATATACTGGAGCAAGTCCCTTGCTTTACGTATCAATGGAGTTGCATCACGGCTGGTGTCGATGTTGAAGATAAAGTCTCACAAAGGAATGCAAAGGCCCGCCTTGCATTCAACAAACTGAGATAACTATGGTGTCGTCGTGATGACAATCTCGTTTTGAAGTGTAGCGCTCAAATTATCACTGCTATCTTTTGTGTAATATTTCGCTGAATACCGAATGTACACTAGTCTTTCTTGTTTGAATCATCCTTGCAACCGGCTCGTCACTTGACCGTCTTGTAAGTTCTCTCGCTAACGTGTTGCTCATGTCTCGCTTCATCCGTCCGCGCCTTCAAGTATCCCATAGAATACAGCCCGCTGTGTCTGACTGCAGTTGCTTTCTGATATCCGCGCTTAATTTCGAGTACCGTCTCGAACTAGTATTTACTAGCCCTACAAATTGGTGACCCCGATTCGAACGCGCAAATTTAAACCTTTTTCGTCGTTTGTATTTTTTAACGAGTTCGTTCCCTTTTCTCGATTATTTACGTGTATTCATTTGTTTTTTGTGTAATGTTAGTAGTTTCGTCGTGTTTTTGTTCATTCTTGATCTTTTCAATTTCCATTTCGAAAGTGCTATCTGATCCGTGTCACAGCATAGATATGTTTACTTTGGATGTTCCAAGTTTCATACAACGCAGCAAAGAGTTTTGGTTTGAGATATTCGAGACTGAACTGAAAAATAAGGGCATTAGGACAGACCGTCCGAGGTACAACGAGCTCGTCCTATGCCTTACTTCAGCGTTGTAACGCTGGTTGAGGACATTCTACTCTGTCTATCAAATGAGGCAAAGTATGAAACGATGAAGCAAGCGATTCTAAAAGAGTTACAGCCAAGTGCACGAGCTCAATTTGAACAGCTCAATAGTCTGAAGCTGGGAGATCGCAAGCAGTCGGCGTTGCTCCGGGAAACACAGCGCATCTCTGGTCCTTTATTCTTGAGCGAAGAAGGGATAAAGGAACTGTGGTTTGCACGTCTCCCAGAGCCATTGCTGATAATGCTTTCCATGTTTCTGGATACGCCTCTGAAAGAACTAACTACCAAGGCAGACGCTGAGTTCGAACGTCTTCCGCGGCAAACGACCAGTATTTCCGGTGACGTATTCTCACCGATGAAAACCGAGTCTCATATTTGCTTCAAGTCGTCAGGCCGGTCCAACGCAGCAGGCTAGCAGCAATCAAAGCTTCGAAGCAGCGTGTGCCACGGTTAGATGCAGATCACGTTTTGGCTACCATTCATTGCGGCTCATCAGTGGCTGCACTGAGTACGTCTTCTTCGACACGAAAAGAGCAACATTTTCCCTGCACTTACTTCGTCAAATACTACGAAACCCGTCGAAGAATTATGTTGGTATCACCGCCAATACGGTGGAAGAACTAGACGTTATTGGGCTCCCTGCATTAGGCACGAATCAGCCGCTTCAGGGAAAGCGAATAGTCCGCATACTAGCACGACCAACGTATCCGTCAATTACCAAACAAATCGCCTGTTCTATATTAAGGATCGACGTTCCTTCATCACGTTTCTCATCGACACGGGAGCGGAAGTCAGGGTCATCCCTGCGAACACGAACGACAAGCACTCAAAGCCTACGTACAACCTGCGTGCAGTCAATGATTCTCCGATAGCTCCATTTGGTTAGCGTAGTATGAACCTGGACCCCAAACTCCAGCGACATTTTCAGTGGCTCTTCATGTTTGCTTCTCTACCCTTCGCAATTATCGGTATCGACATCTTCGGACGTTTTGGTTTGTTTGTTGATGCTGGTCGCCACAGACTTTTAGACTACCATACTAAACTAGGGGTCGAAGGCGTTCTTACGGGCGCCCCGATAATCAGTCCCGTTTTTCGAATCGCCGATGTACCTTCAGATTATGCGAACCTACGGTGTTCGTTTGGTTTCGATTCGGTCAGTTTTCTCGGCCACCATAACTCCCAT